TTTAGACGTAAGCCAATCAATATATTTGCAGCAGAGCGAGGTCTTTTTGATAACGTTTTCTGTATCAACATGGTATCAAGATGCGATGTCAGTCGTGCCAGCTTCAAGCAAATGTGTTACTCCTTTATTAGATGAACAAAAGCAAATTTCATTATACAATCATTCCAACGTTCAAATAGAGACAATGTAAGCATTTTGATAGTGTTCTGTGACTCGCGTGTTTAACTTAGCAAAGAGTAAGTCCTGTCACATAGTTCACTTATACAATAATAGAGCTCATCATTAAGCCGCCGATTGTTATTTTCATGGCTTAGGACAAACAAAAGCCTTCAAAATGGTTCTATTTCATTAAGGTTTATGGTGTGTAACCATTTTGCGGCACTTTCTGTCTGTTGCTATGTCATTATTACCGAGTTAGCACGTTATAATGAAAAATAACAATTGACGTGGGTACCCTGTGGTGGGCGAATTTTTTTTTTTTTTTGAGCGATTAGATAGAAATGGTTCTATTTCATTTAAGTTTATGGTGTGTAACCATTTTGCGGCATTTTCTGTCTGTTGCTATGTCACTATTACCGGATTAGGGCGTTATAATTAAAAAAAAAAATGAAGTGGGTAGCCTGTGATGGGCGAATTTTTTTTCTTTAAGCCATTAGATAGAAATGGTTCTATTTCATTCAAGTGTATGGTGTGTAACCATTTTGTGACATTTTCTGTCTGTTGCTGTGTCATAATTACCGAATTTGCGCGTTATAATGAAAAAAATTGACGCCGGTACCCTGTGGTGAACGAAGCGTTGGCAGCCTTCCTGTGGAATAGTTCAGTGAGTGCCCAAAGACTTTTTTGCAGGCTCCCACCTTTTAGACGGTATGCTCCGTTTTTTGAAGCATTGGAGATATTTTGCCCTAAACTTTGGCTATTTTAACAGTTTTCACTATTGGGTGAGAGGGGGGTCTTGTCTGAGACGACTTCTGTAATAGGAACTAGTCGTAGAAGAACGAAACGTAGACAGTAGATTGTCTTTGGGTAGGACAACATTCACTGAAAATTTGAAAAGATTTGGTTGAATTCTTATAGCAGTAGAGCTTTATACTTTTTACCATTTTTGGGGTTATTTTTGGTCATTTTCGTTGAAAAAGCAAGGGGGGTGGTCAACTCCCCCCCGTTTTTGACCAAATTTTCTTAAACTTAGACTGGAGTAGTTTTGAGTGAACCCCTTCAAACTGACCAAGTTTCATCGAAATCGGCGAGATAGCTTGTGCCGCCCCTGCCTGGTCCTCTCGTGGATGCACTCTTAATACGTGCAGAATAATATAAGCGTCACATTGAACAGTGCCCTAATATGATCTTGTACCTGTTTTGCTTTCATCTTCGCTGTCGCTGCTTTCGCTGCTGCTGCTACTGCTGCTACTGCTGCTGTCGCTGAGCTCTGGAGACCTGAAGGTATCGTCCCGTTCCTGAGTATCATCCTGAGTATCATCCTGCTTGTGCTCCTCCTCTGGATATCTGCTGTCATCCTGTCTTGGGGACTCCAAGGGAACCTGTTCAAGGAGGTCCTCAGATTCCTGTTCAGCTTCATCTACTCCTCGATCTTCTTGGTCGTTTTGCTCTGCGACTTCTTCTGGAACATCTTCTGGATTCTGAAAAATACAATTCATTATCAAGGCAAATTTACAAATTTCAATTCAAGGAGAATTTACTACACGAAATGTAACACGCTACTCTTTAAGAAACTCCGAAAACAAACTAGTTGTTCCCTTTCCACGAACTAACTACCTCAAAAATAGTTCTTATTGGACTGGTGCAACCCTCTGGAACAGCCTACCCTGTAGCCTTACAGAGGCTAACTCGGTCAAAAAATTTAAGCGCTTACTCAGTCTCGAATTTATAAAATAGATACACGGCATTCATGGAAAACAGGTTGCTATTAGTGCATAATTTTTTAATTATACAGGAAATGAACTTGTAATGGATTTGTAAACCCTGATGATTTTTTCTATAACGACTGATTAAAGATTAAAGATTAAAGATCTCAATATTATTAATATTTACGACCTGCACAATAATTTGTTCCCAGTGTATTTTGTTATGCCGTCCCCTGAAGGGAGGAATAAAATCTGGTTGGGGTTTTGGGGTTTGTCGATATGTGGTTAAGTGTGATATTACTGTCTCTCAGACTAGTTCTATCGTAAGACAGACATGTTGTGTTTCTGGTCTGACGTAACCATTCCATTATCTGCACACTTGAAAAAGGTTCAGAGAAACTAGCAATTGATGACTATGGAGCTATGAGTCACAGTACAATACGAAAACAAACTCTAAACCTCCTCTTCATCTTTCTCTCCTTCTTCTTGCTCATCTTCAATGACAGTTACATCCTCATCAAACGACACATTCTTGCTTTGCCTTCCTTCCGAGTCCGTGGCACTGGTTGGTCGTGCAGCGTTCTATCAATAACAGATAGTAAAAACAGTTGTGTTGATCACTCAAAACACCTAATTAATGCAAATAAACGCAACAATACAGAAAATGGTTTGGAAACTGGTGTACAAATGTAAAACAAACACCTTGCGACAGATATCAACGACTAACCGTTGTTTACCAAAGCCTTTTTCCGACCTCAGCAATTTCAACTGACCTACAAGCAATCGTATCTGGCACAATGATGCTCAAGCTATCCAAGCATTCGCCAACAAAAGTCCTTTTTTGACCCAGTCCCACCCGAACCATCAAACAGATGTAACTTCCAAGAGAACAAATGCAAAATGCAATAAAAATACCCAGCTTTTCCGGTGGAAAGAATCACTTGCTATGTAACCTCGAGCGACAAAACTAAATTCTAGCTGTCGTCCGCTGAGCCTCAATTTCTTGTCAGACAGATCATAACGAACAAAGCCTGCCAGCATTACAGAGTTCCAATACACGAACTTTTCAATACACCACGAACCCCATAAGCGCCAGCTTTTTGCTATCAAAGAACCCCGCGATATTTAACGAACTTTGACATTATCTTGTGCTTAACTACTGTTTTGAAAGAACATTGAAATATCGCCAATCACTGCTTACAATGAACCTCTTTTTGTCCCAAGTCAAATAATGTCATGTTTTGTGAATCCTTTAAATAACAAAATTGAGATTCTGTCTACAGGAGTGTGCGATCCCGTGTCAACAAGTTTATGAGCTTAGGAGTTGTACTTAATGCAACCAAACAAAGCCAGCACGAAACCTTAGCTGTCATCTCAAGTTAAGCTTCATGCTAATCATGCATCTCTTCGTCACAAATCAAACCTTAATAAATACATAATCCAGTTATTACTTTGTAACAAAAAAGAAATTTATCGAATGAAATATTCCCCCACGCAGGGCTTGTACTAATCTATATCACTCGCAAAACTCCCGGTGATTTCAAGTCTACATAAGGTTTTTCTTTTTGAGTAATAAGCGAACTAGCAAACATACACTGCAATGCACACATTACGCAATGAGTTTGGGATACAGCTGTGATTTTCAATCCCATGACATGATAATGTATTCATTAACACTCACATCCTGCTTTTCCTTGTCTGTTTCATCTTCAACCTCTTCAGCTTGCTCTTCCTCCCCAGTCTCACTCTTTTCTTTGTCCTCAGTTTCATCTTGAATATCATCTTCAGGATCTTCTTCTTTTTCACTTTCCTTACCATCTTCATCACCTGATTTGTCTCTTTCTTTCTCTTCATCAGATTCAAAATCTTCATTGTAATCGTCATCTTTTTCATCCTCCTTTTTATCCTCGTCACCTTCTTTATCAGTGTCCTCTTTTGCTTCACTCTCACTATCGTTCTCCCTGTCATTCCCCTTGTCATTCTCCTTGTCATTCTCCTTGTCATTCTC